CTGCTGGTGGCTTCTGTCCTGGGGATATCATGCAGTCGAGCGAGCCTCCAAACGAACATAAACTAGGCCTTGGACTGATAATATCCTACACCAAGCGATAAAAAGCTTTAGTGGAGTCAATTAAATAACTGGATAACAAAAGTTCTTCTATCCCTTAATCCTTTCAGGATTGTATTTTACAATCCACAGGTTATTTAATATACGCTTTTTATAGACGCACACGTGTACATATCTGAGCATGTATACGATTTTTTTTTTTTTTTTGAGAAAGCCACATATCTACTCACTTAAAAAAAATATTTAAGACAAGGGACAACTTGATTAGAGTGGTAGGTCAGGTTTACAAGTTGAATACTGTTAAAATACCTGTCTTTCCCCTTCTCATGACTCGTTTCCAGGTTCCAGAGCTATAATACAGAACGACTCCGGAGCAAAAGCCCAACATTTTAAGACAAATTTGGAGATCTGATTTCACCAAAAAATATATCTCCTGGTTCTAAGTCACAGAAGCACTGAAACAGCACCACTGAGTGGTGCTCTGCTTTGTGGTCTGGCATTAGTGTCAGAAACCATGTGTTTTGTCTTAAAAACTGTACTTCAATGTAGAATAAATTTATCTCACGTACCAAAAATGACAGCACATACTTTTGCTGAAGATTATGTCAACTGTGGTAGTAGCTGGAATGTCAACACCTTATCCATAGACACACTTTTTAAAAACTTAGGTGTACAAAAAATGATTGTGCTCAGGAGAAAGTAACTAGACAAAGAGAAACCACGACACAATTGAATAGAAATATTCAATTCTGCCCATCATTTGCAGTTGACTTAAAATTTAAAAGCCTATACTAGCTGTGGTTTTTTGTTTTCTTCTGTTTTGTTAAAAAAAGATAGCATCTCTAGTTCCTTCCTATACTAACTCAGTTAGCAATCTACCTTGATAACACCGGAGTGAAAAAAAAAAAAGCAGTGAAAGCCCCTTCAAACATATCATTCAAATCATATCTAAAAAGGTGGTCATAAATATTTTAGAACCCAAGCAAACTAATAAGAGCTAGGCCCATTAAGGATAAGATCTTTTACAACAAATTAAATAAAACAATTTATTGAAGCTTGGACTTGAGATAAACTAGATTTACTAGCTGACCTTTTATTCATTTAAAGAACAAAATTAGCTCTAATTGCATTAGAATGGAATCCAGTAAATTTCTTCTAATGTGGCATCCATGCAAGTATTGCTGTAATTGTTTACAACTAAGATGGAAATGCTTTGATTATAATCTACTTTCTTCTTGTTTTACTGTGCAGTTAAAACACTTGGAAAAAAACAACCCTAAAGTAGAACAGTTTTTCCAATATTGGCTGCTCCATTCTTCAGCAGAAGTACATTTTCATGTCTATTAACCTAACGTTATTAATAGCTGTCTCTTTAGAACCGATGTGTGTTGTTAAGAATATTTGCACAAGAGACAAGGTGGAATGTAGAAACGAAGAGCAATACACACAAGAAAGAGAAAGAAGGAGACATCTCTGCCACTACCACCACTGCATTCTATGTTGGTCCAAGTAGAGGAACCAAAAAGCAAAATAATAAAGAATAAACTATTTGCTGATCACCCTGAAATGAAGAGCAATATGCACAGGAACGAGAAAGAAGGAGACATCTTTGCCACTACCACCACTGCGTTCTATGTTGGTCCAAGCAGAGGAGCCAAGAAGCAAAATAATAAAGAATAAACTATTTGCTACACTGCAAAGGCATTTTCCTCACTACTGCTGCTGTATTGGAGTAAACTTGTGTTGCTGCTGTTGTGCTGTGTTTATGATGGGATGTGAATCTCCATTTTGGTCACCATCAATCTGACACTTGTTCTTCAGACACCCCAAAGTCTTGGTGGCCTCACCAAGATCTGTAAGTTAATTCCATTAAAGACTACGTTTTATATGAAGTTCCCCCAAATAAAGCAATTTATGATGGGATGTGAATCTCCATTTTGGTCACCATCAATCTGACACTTGTTCTTCAGACACCCCAAAGTCTTGGTGGCCTCACCAAGATCTGTAGGTAGTTCCATTAAAGGCTATGTTTTATATGAAGTTCCCCCAAATAAAGCAACCTCCAGCTGAACAGGTACTTCAGTACTTCCAAAAGCCTCCACACAGCTCTTCTCTTTAAAAGAGGAAATTGAAATAACTGAGAATCTCACCAGTGGTGCCCAGCAACAGGACAAGGGGCAACAGGCCTAAACTGGAACACGGGAAATTCTGTCTCAACATGAGGAAAAAATTCTTGACTTTGAGAGTGTCAGATCCCTGGAACAGGCTCCTAAACTGGAACACGGGAAATTCTGTCTCAACATGAGGAAAAAATTCTTGACTTTGAGAGTGTCAGATCCCTGGAACAGGCTGCTCAGAGAGGTTGTGGGGTCTCCTTCTCATGGAGATATTCAAAACCCACCTAGATGAGTTCTGTCTGACCTGCTCTGGCTGACCCTGCTCTGGCAAGGGGGTCGGACGAGATGATCTCCAGAGGTCCCTTCCAACCCCTACCATTCTGCGATTCCATAATTAGTCCATCTAGTTTTTACTCATCAAATTCTATGAATCCCCAAAAACTTTCCCACACCTTTTCCCATACCTCCCAACATTTCTATAGGATAATTACCAGACATTCAGGACTTCATTATCAACACAAATGAAACATAAGTTTAACTTTCCATTAACATAAGACAGCACAAAAGCACAGCTTTGGTTTCTGCCTGTTGGGAACTACTTAAAAGCCTGATGATCCTACTATGGTCTTTTCTACTAAGAACTTCAAACAGAGGTGGCAGAGACTTCTGGTATTCCTTCAGAGGTCTGTAATGCTTTGTCATGGAGCCACACAGGTCTTTTTCATAATGATCACAACACATGAAAATGTGTAACAGCAAATTTCTCCCTGGATTTTGCCTTGGAAAACTATGACAAATCCTAAAAGCTACTACAAAACTCTATAAGTTCTTGTTTGCCATCAGCCAGAAGGTGCAACCAGGCGATACAGCCATTACACCAGGACAACTTTAAGGTGCTGCTATGGTGGGCAGCAAGGGGAGGTATTTAAGGTAGAAAAGGAAAACCAGTAAGCAACTGGAGATGGAATACTAATGACCCAAACCTTGTTTGGTCATGCAGTCTAAACCAATCTCAAGGATGACTGTCCTGTGGAGAAGATGAAGTTCCCCTTGTAGGCCCAGTATGGACGTTCTAGAGAGCTGGAGCTCAACCACTTTCTTAGCTTTTCCTACCAGTTGCCTCCGTGACTCCCCTGCCCCTAAAGATCTTGGCCTTGGTGTTTAATTCTCCCCTATTTTGTCTAGAAACTTTGAGCTAAGTCAGCTTTGTGTAACTCCCATCCTGGAGTCAGGGTTTAAACTCTAGGCTCTGCTGCACTAAGGATCACAAAGCTTGAGGTCCTCAGATGGTGACCAAGGTGCCACTAAAGATGCACAAAGGAAACTGGGATAGAAGCGAGTTTCCCAAAAGGCCACAAAACAAGACATCAGTGGCACTGACGATGATGTACCCATATGATCTGTAGCAAACACACAGATTCTGAAATCCCTCCTCAAAATGTCTGTGGGCATGAGAAAGACTGGGGTGAGATGAGAGGGGAATCAAAGTCAACTCTTTGGTGCTAAAATATGGCTTCAGAACTTTAATTTAGAAGTTCTGCCTTGAAAATATGACTTAATTTTCCCCACATAAACACTTGTATAGTCCTTGAAAAAGAATTTAAAAGTATCTATAGCTCCTCGAGGAGGAAAATGGGTTTGTGGGCTTTAAAGGAGAGTCACTCAAATTGGCACAGCAGGACAGACAACTGTTCTGAGAAAGCAGGAGCTTTTGTACAGCAATCTGAGGCACAGAATTTTTCAATCACACTCAAATATTGTAAAAGGAAGAGAGCAGAAATGGTTGAAGAGCAGGAAAAAGTCCTGATATTTGGGGTGGGGGCGTCCCACAGAAACCAAGACAAGCAACTTCAAACCAGTAAAAGTCAGTCACCCCCTAGGGAGGAGTAGGACAGCACAGAAAAAGAGAATAATCATCCAAGATGCCAATTAACTTACAATGCAGAAAAATTAACCATTAGGAGATTTAATACATAACGGCTCTAAAAGAGAACCAACTCCATGAGCAGTATTTCATGGGATGAATGGAAAGAAAAAAATTCTATTTGGTGCTCATGTTTATTACCATCAGACATGAAAGTGTGCTCTGTGCCACTAAAAACAACGTGAAAAACCTGATTAAAAGAAACCCTTCGCATACAACACGGGACAAGCCTAAAAAGCCCAGTGACGCCACGGTTTCCCCAGCCTCTCCAGCCACCTGCTTATGCTGGATGATCTCAGGGTAGGGATCATCATCCTATTTATGCTCACACAGTACAAAGTAACTATTATTTGTACAACAGCACCCGATAATTAGGGAGCTAATGAACCAACGTTTGAAATGCGTTAGGTACACTCATGAATAATCATCAACAGTTATAATAAAACAGACGCCTGTAAAGGAATTTCCACTGTTATGTTTTAAAGCATAAAAACCACTGTTGGCTGAGGAGCGTGATGAAACTCAGCTGTAGGTTACACCAGGGATAACCACCCATTATGGAAGCCTCACTAAATGTCACTGGAGGCAGCATCTGAGTCTAGATGGAGTCTTGTCACCCACGGCCTAGAAAGGCACGGAGTGGGAAATACAGTAGGATGGATGGAAGAGGCTGGGTCCCACTTGGAGAGGAGAAGAAAAAGGGGAAAAGGTCCAGAAAGTTGCTATTGGTAAGTTTTCTGCTTCATTTTTCATTAGAACGGTCAAAAGATGTCATAGCTGTATGAATATTGTTTGCTACTAATTTTTAAGCCTTTCCCACTGAAAATAAAAGAGCTGCCACAAGTGACAGAGGATGAACCGTGGTGAGCTTATGCTTTGCAGATGGATTTATTTGTACTTACATCTTGTCTTGGCCTGCACCCACTCTCAGTGTCAGCCGAGGAATAACCGGTGATGGAGCCGGAACAACTGGTTCCACCTTTATCTGTACGAGGGAACACAATCATCAATCAGAGACTGCAAGCAGACTCCCAAAATATATTAATTACATGAAAGCACTGATGGAGTTGACCAAACGGAGTCTATTGGCTTAATGAGACAGACCTATGACAGACTCACCACCGCTCTCTCACGCTTCGGGCCGTGACAGGGATGGTCAGAGTTTGCTGGGAGCTCCCAGCCATAAAAAATCACAAATAAGAATTCTAGACTAAAAAATCAACTTGAAATTTTGTTGCATTTGTACCTGCTCGTGCACTTTGTTAATAAATCTTCCTGATTTAGTATTTTTCTAGAGACACAAAAGAACCCCAGTATGTTTCCAACCGATGACATGAAATGTTTGATCTTAGCACTCAAACCTGGTAGGTACGCGCTGGTGTTTGCACTTTTTTCTGAGATTGAAATTCAATTATTTCCCAGGTTCATCACATAAATGTACTGTGACCCTCCTGAATCAAAATCGGGAAGCAAATAAACTGAATATTTTATGAATGTGCTTACCCACACAGGTATAACAGAACCACTGCTTTTTAATGCAATTATGCTGAGATTTCTGATGGTGATTTGTCAAATGCCCTGGTTTCCAACCTCAGTACCTGGTGGAGTTCAGACCACTTGAATATGTCCTTAAACTCTTTGATCCAGCATCTGACAAAAATCATCACCTCCCACTGAGCTACTACTTTGCAAAATCTGTACAGAATCATCTCAGATTTTGCAGTTGACACTGAAATAATTCTCTGTACATACACTGCTCAACTTATATCCATGTATATGAGAAGTGTATATACATTATATATGTCTATATATAAAGAGAGGGAGATTGATCTCATTTTGAGCATGGGTGACATTGTATTTAATAAAATATCCACTTAGCTGAATCTTAAAGAGACAAAAATGTACACTAGATAGAAACCCCAGCAGCTCTCAGAGGGGGAAATCTGGTTGAAAAAGCTTTCCTAAAGAAAGGGAGGGCAAACATTCAACTCAAAGCACAGAAAGCAGAGCAGGAGACAGCAGCCCAGAGTGGGAGGGCTCAATGAGGACTTGGATTGAGGAATGGTAATGACAAAATCCCATGTCACACACCTCACCCAAAGAATGGGAGCTGCTCGTTAGGAGATGTCTGCTCCAGAGAGAGAAGGGCTGCAGCCCGAGTTGTATTTCTGTTTTGACACATTTAACCACGCTTTTCAATAAAGCTCTCCGTGGATATGTATAAGCTCACTTCACACTCTTTACTCTTTTGTTTATATAGCACAATTTTTTTGTTATGTCACTCCCCTGGAGTGTTGCAAGAGGTTTTTTCCTCCGGAGCTCTTCATGCCTGGAATAATTTCACCACCACTTTCCCAGTTAAGTCTCTAAACTGCTTTCCTGGCACCTTAACCTGTAGCATCATCCACTGGATAGAGACATGGAATTGAACCTTAGGTACAGAAGACTCAGGCACATGCCTTAGGTAAAATTATTTTACCTCTCTTCCTGCACATTTGTCCTCCTTCTATAGTGCATATTTCAAATACAAAACCTTCTAAGACAAGCACTGCTACTTAATTTCCAGCACACAGCACAGAACAGATGACCCATGTCATCCATCCTTTCACAGAATCACAGAATCACATGGGGTTGGAAGGGACCTCTGGAGATCATCTAGTCCAATCCCCCTCCCAAAGCAGGTCCACCTACAGCAGGTTGCACAGGAACATGTCCAGGTGGGTTTTGAATGTCTCCAGAGAAGGAGACTCCACCAACTCGCTGGGCAGCCTCTTCCAGGGCTCTGCCACCCTCCAAGTAAAGAAGTTCCTCCTCATGTTTAGGTGGGACTTTTTACATTCAAGTGTGTGCCCATTTCCTCTTGTCCTGTCCCTGGGCACCACTTTAAAAAGACTGGCCCCATCCTCTTGACACCCACCCTTTTAAGTATTTATAAGCATTGATCAGATCCCCCCTCAGTCTTCTCTTCTCCAGATTAAAAAAACCCAAGTCCCTCAGCCTCTCCTCATAAAAGAGATGCTCCAGGCCCCTCATCATCTTTGTACCCCTTCCAGTAGTTGCCTGTCCTTCTTGAACTGGGGAGCCCAGATCTGGACTTTATCCTTTGTATTAAGGTCTTTTGCATTATTATTATTTGTATACCACCCTTTGTTGTAAACAATGGTGGGGTGGGCTCATATGGCAGAAGAAAAGCTCATAAACCACTTCTTTATGCTTGGATACCAACATTGCAGCCTTCTGTGAGAGGAAAACTGGGCTCCATGACAATCCTAAATCTTATCCCTTGATAGAGAGGAGAGGAAGCATCTTTCAGCAACGTGGGTTTGTGTGTAGGGTTTGCGTGCCTGGAGCAGAGGGAAAATTAAGGAGTTATCCTGGTTTTCCTTCACATCGATGAGAGGATTTCGATTCACAAGGGCACTTTACTTTGGGGCAGCCCTGCTCTGATGCAAAGATGGCTCCATTTCTCATGAAGCAGTTCACAGAATCATAGAATAGTTACAGTTGGAAGGGACCTTAAAGATCATCAAGTTCCAATCCCCTGCCCTGGGCAGGGACACCTCCCACCAGACCAGGTGGCTCAAAGCCCCATCCAGCCTGGCCTTGAACACTTCCAGGGATGGGGCAGCCACAGCTTCTCTGGGCAACCTGGGCCAGTGCCTCACCACCCTCACAGGAAAGAATTTGTTTCTGGTATCTAATCTAAATTTCCCCTCTTCCAAGTTAAAATCATAACCCCTTGTCCTATTGCTACACTCCCTGACAATGAGTCCCTCTCCGGCTCTCCTGTAACTCCCTTCAGTTATTGGAAGGCTGCTACAAGGTCTCCCCAGAGCCTTCTCTTCTCCAGGCTGGACAACCCCAGCTCTCTCAGCCTGTCTTCACAGGAGAGGTGCTCCCTGTGATCCCTCTGATCATCTTCATGGCCCTCTGCTGGACCCATTCCAACAGGTCCATGTCCTTCCTGTGTTGAGGACTCCAAAGCTTGACACAGTGCTCCAGGTGGGGTCTCACGAGCGCAGAGTAGAGGGGTAGAATCACCTTCCGTGACCTGCTGGCCATGGTTTTCTTGATGCAGCCCAGGATGCAGTTGGCCTTCTGTGCTGCCAGTGCACACTGCAGTTCCTCAACTACTTTTAGTTTCCGGCTCGGTGTATTAAATTTGGCTGAAACTGGGTCAGCAGCTGCTTCTCAAGCTGCTCAGTCCCTCCTCCAGCCCGCCCCGTGACCTCCAGCGTACACGTGGGGTCTCACAGCTTCCACCGTCTGCTTTTAACTTGGTACCACAAGCCAGGCAGCTCCTCGTCTCCTTTTCTACCCCAAGACTTACTGTGGAGGACAAAGCTTGGGCCAATCCCTTTGCAAAAGCTCTTCTTCCTCAGTCCCAGCACCGACCTCTTCTAGCACGCAGCCTTCGGCTTCTGCTTTCTGCCCTTTTATGCAGAAAATCGGTCGCTGCTCTGCGTATTCCAGCAGCTCCAGGCAGAATTGAGGGGAAAAACTTAGTAAAAAGCTTCAAATCCCCACCAGGTTGGGCTGCACGGTCGGGCAATAACTCTAACAGTACTCCAAAAAAATTCAAACAGCTCTGTTGATTCACATGGTATGGCAATATTAGAAAGGTATGGCAATATTAGAAAGGTATGGCAATATTAGAAAGAAAAATCTGGTATTTTCTACTGGCATCGAGAGCTGAAAGCGCAGTTATCCCCAGAACTCATCCCTCGGGTTGTACTCACACCTCCGAAGTGGCCATGGAGGTGATGGGTCCGAGCAGAGTCTCCATCGTTTGTACTTCGAGCACAACCCCTGGCTAAATAAACCATTGTGTGATCTTACAAGCTAAATTAAGGAAACCTGTACTTTTAGGGGTTAAAACGAAAGAGCAGCATTCGGGAGTAATACTGGGAATTGGGGCCAGCAGAAGAGCATTTACAGTGGATTACTAAGCTTCCCAAATCACCAAAGAGGTAAAGTCCAGCAATATAAGACTCCTTTGTAGCTAACTAAAAATACATTGTCAGTGGATTTGTCCAGTTTTATGTATAAGCAATACTTCTTTCACCTGAACTAATACTAGTAGTCATATAAGCCCCTTATTGCCATGTGCTGCATTTTTTTTGCTAATCTTCAAGGATTTAGCTTCTTTGCCACATACCTCAGGGCACCAACTGATAAAGCTCTAACTCTCCATTTTTCCAGGACACCAGCAGTGCGGCCTTGCAAAAAATGAAAATCGCTCAAGAGATTTAAAGGGGAAATTTATTTTTAAAATCCTGACTTGCAGCAAAGAGGTGGATTTAAAAAAAAAAAAGCTTATCTATCAAGAATCAGTTTAAATTTTAATTCTATCTGGGGACTCTTTCATGCATTCTAGCTTTAAAGTTTATCTTTTGACAGGGACTTTTTGCCAAGGTAATGGGCAGCTTTGTCAATTTAATTTGTCCAAGTTTTTATTACTGTTGAATTCCTTTTCCTAATATATATATGTTCGGTCTATACCAAAGCGTTACCGGTGTGTATTTGTTTGTGTATCTGTTTTATTGCTCTAAAGCAAACTAGATATTGAGATTTGCAGAAGAAATGTGAAATTGGGCATGTGAAAAACAAGCAACTCATTGTCTCTATTTTATATATATGCTTTTAACTCAAAAAGAAACCTCTGCAGAAATTTTCATGGAAATACTGACAAAACACCTCGGGCACGAGGGGAAGACAGACAAAATAAGGAATCCATGAAAGTGTTGCTGCAGCCTAAAACTGGACATTAAATTAACATGGACAACTAGGCGACCAGCCTGTCAGTCACTGGCTTATCCATTAATTCTCCAGATCACCCAGATTCTGCACTGGAAAACCATTCGTCAACTTAAAATATATGTCGAGTTTGGAAATGAGCAGTTTGTTTTAAGTCCAGCAGACAGCACAACAGGGTACGGTGGCAAAAAGGGAATGTGAAGATGTCCCAAATCTGAGCTTGAACCAATGGAGTATTACACTCCAAGCAGGATGTAAAGAGCATCTTGGTAAGCCCAGAACTTATATGGTTCTTCCTAATGCTAAGGATAGAGATTTAGGAAATCTTCTGTATCCAAGGTTATCACATATGAAGGCAATCTCTTTCATTTCTTTTTTAAATATAGATATTAACAATTTAATGTGCATTATAAGGTGACGTGACAAAAAATTAGAGCAAACCCTGAATTAGGGGAGCCGTTTCTAATGGGATTTCCAATCTGATAACATGCAAATATGCCGGTCTCATTTCTTAAATATACTCTCAAGATTAGCTGATATTGGAAGGAAGAAATTATCTTTGGCTGATGTAAATCAGTAGGAGTTACAGGAGTGGAAGGAGCTCAACCCACTTGAAAACTAGCTCTCCTCTCTCTCAAGCGTAAGACTCAAAATGAAAGGTGACATTTGAACATTTGGACCATATTTTGAAAAAAAATTTCTTACTTCAAACAAATTGGAGCAATAAGGGGGCCGTCATGCTAAGAGAGGATTCAGCAGCTCTTCTGAACATCTGAGATAACCAGTAGACTGGTTTGTTCGAAAGCAGGCTGCTCCTCACTTCTGTCCACCTGAGAATTTACAGGCTTCTACGAGCTTCGAAACAGTAGCCTTTTAGAAACTAAATTTCACGTTGATATGAAAGGTATATGGCTGCTGGCCCTACTAGTGGACATCTACAGAATAAAATTTGTGCATCGCCACGCTACATCCATTCGTTGTGTGTGCGCTGTTGTTGAGTCTGACCCCAGGTTTTCAAAGTGAAAAGTGAGTTGAGGAAAACCAGAAAGACAATCTCACATTTTAAATTCACAAAATTGAGCCTCCATGGTTTTGTCTTCCAGAGAGGTGGGACAATCCCTGAAACTCCTGGAGGAAGTCTTTCTTGGAGCTGTAATTTTTAAAAAAAATACCAAACCTGTAATCACACATCTCCTCAAAGCCCTTAGATAATGCTTAGCAGCAAATACGGGAATCCATGTGCAATTTTCAAGCAAGTATTCCATCTCATCTAAGCAGCTTACCTTTTCATGTTTGTGTTTCTCTTTTTCTTTCTCTTTCTTTTCTCTTTCTTTCCTCTCCTTTTCCTTCTCCTTCTTTTCCTTTTCTTTGTCCTTCTCCCTTTCTTTCTTTTTCTTCTTCTCTTTTTTGTCTTTCTTCTTCTCTTTTGGTTTCTCTTTGTCCTCAAAGAGTTTTTCAGGAAGCATTGGAGACAAGGAAGGTAACATGCTGGGAAGCCTCATGGCAGCTGGTGTGCTGAACAAGGGCAAAGACATTTCTTTGGGAGGTATCACAAGAGGTGCTGATGGAGCCTTTATCTTATCTTCCTTACCCTTATCTTTAAGTTTCTCTTTGTCTTTCTTATCCTTGTCTTTTTTGCCTTTCTCTTTCTCTTTCTTTTTATCTTTATGTTTTTCTCTCTCTTTTTTGGTATTGCCATCTTTCAACTTTACTTTTGTGTCAGCATCCTCAAAGTCCTTTAGTTTGAATTTATATGGATCAAGATCATCATCTTTGAGTAGTTCCTTCCACTGAAATTTCGCTTCCTTGCTTCCTTCCTTGTCTTTATCCTTCTCCTTGTTCTTTTCCTTCTCCTTGCTCTTCTCCTTGTTTTTCTCTTTATCTTTTTCCTTCTGCTTTTCTTTCTTCTTCATTTTTGTCTTCAGTTCCTTTTTCAATTTCTTTTTCACTTCTACCGAGGAAGCCAACTTGGTTTTCTCCTCATAGACTTTGAGAAGAGGTTCTGGAGTTGGCGGTGAAGCGGAAGGAGAAGAGAAATAAGTGAAGTTGGTAGGTGGATTAGAAGGTGTCCCCATGTTTGCCTTTCGAATGACCTCATCGATCGAGTCATCCATTGTCCATGAAATGTCTGAACTTGAAGTCCCACCTGAGGGAGGTATTGGAGTTGCTCCTGCCTTATTCGCATTATTGGCAGAAACAGAAGGTTTAGGAGTTGGAGCCTCTGAAATAGAAAGTCTTTTAGGACTGGTAAAAATTTCCCCTTCGGATTCGGAACCGGAGGAAAACTCAAAGGGATCCGGTTCTCGCTCCGCACACGCACGAGCAATCACAGCATCGATTGAATCATCAATGGTCTTGTCCATTACTGGTAGTTTCTTAGCCTGGTTTTCAATATTTGGCTTGGGGGCAGGTTCAGGTGGTGTCTGTACTTGTTTCACTTGAATGTTTTCCTTCCCTATCTTGTCACTTAATGCAGCCACAGGGGTTCTACTTGGTGTTTCAGGCTTGACAGGTGGTGGGGGAACATGAGCAGGAACCTTTGGACTTTTAGGACTTTTTGGGCTCTTGGCGCGACCCGGTGACTTTTTTTCTTTGGATCCAGTTTTTGGTGAACGTATAGGACTTCCAGTTACCACTGGTGAGGGCGTAGTTTTAGGTGATTTTGTCTTCTGTCCTGGAGAACTTGTTTTGGACTTTGTTTTGGGTACAAACGGCTTTGACTCTACAGTTTTAGGGGTTGGCACTTGCGATTTTGCAATGGGAGCCAACATTGGTGGTTCCGGTGAAGGAGGGGCTAAGTCTGTATTGTCCTGAACATGAACTGGAGAAAGCATTGGTGGTACTTTTTGTGTATTTATTGAGCTAAGAGGCTCACGTGGTTCCAAAGCTCCATCCAAGGCATCCCCTTTGGAAACGGACAGTTTTGGCCGTTTCACAGGTGGATATTCCTCAGCATCAGGACTTTCTAATGGTCTCTTGCTCAAGTAGTTCTCATCATTAATTGCCTCATCCTCTTCCATGTCTTCCTCTTCTTCCAGTGGGACCTGCATGGCCTCTGCTGATGTACCTCCATCGGTGGGCACCTGTTCCTCTTCCTCTTCTGTAACATAGAACATTTTTAAAAAGCGTTAGGATAATTAAAAATGTGTTTTACAGGAACAAACAAGCACCAAAAGAAATGATCACATGCATCTCAGCCCATAATGGGCCACCTAAGAGCTTCTTACTGGTCTACTTGGAAGGAAAGTGTGGCATCTCCTCTGTCTCGCATCAGCCACCATCGCAACTGGCAGGTGCCCTCATCGCGTAACATCAAACCCATGAGCAAAGGATATGAGATTAGAGATCACCAATGATGGTAGACCTCGTGGAGTGGGTCCAAAGCATCAATTCTACCTCAAAACATCTTATTTCTTACAGTGGTTGTGGGGTTACAGTAACATGAACCTGCTTCATTCAGTCAAATGAAGGAAGTGAGGCTGAGGCATTTTTTGCTGTAACAAAGTGGACGGCGAAGCATCTATCAAAATAAAATTCACTGGAATTAGCTGTCTGGCCTACACATCACACAATTTTCATAGAATCATAGAATGGTTAGGGTTGGAAGGGACCTCAAAGATCATCTAGTTCCAACCCCCCTGCCATGGGCAGGGACACCTCCCACTAGAGCAGGTTGCTCAAGGCCACATCCAGCCTGGCCTTGAACAAACATTTTGACTGCAGATTAACTACTGAGGAAACATCTTCCTAAACCTTGGTTGTTTTTCCTGAAGCAGCACAATCTGAAGGTTAAAAAGCAGAGGACTAAGCCCCATTCAACCTGCTGGGTTCTGTCCCTGATGTCATCTCAAGAGCTTGCTGCACAGGGATGTTATCTGATAGGATTCCGTGGGAACACCCCAGCATCGCGTGTGTCCCTGTCGGTTTGGATGAGGAGCACGCCTTCGAGATACATCTCCCCACCATCCCCACTTACTGTTGTTCTGTTTGCATCGTGGAGCAACCCTGGGGTCCACGTGCTGGCTTCCTGCTCTACTGAAACCAAAATGAAAGACGGGAGGAACACACCTAACGTGCTCCAGCCCCAAGTGGGCCTTCAGAGAAGGGCGTCAAAGATGGGTCCAGAGAAGGGCGACAAAGATGGTGAGGGGTCTGGAGAATAAGTCTTATGAGGAGAGGCTGAGGGAGCTGGGGTTATTCAGCCTGGAGAAGAGGAGGCTGAGGGGAGACCTTATTGCTCTCTACAACTACCTGAAAGGAGGGTGTAGAGAGATGGGGGTTGGTCTCTTCTCTCAAGTCACAGGTGACAGGACAAGAGGAAATGGCCTCAAGCTGCGCCAGGGGAGGTTCAGGCTGGATATTAGGAAAAATTTTTTCACTGAAAGGGTTATCAGCCATTGGGATGGGCTGCCCAGGGAGGTGGTTGAGGCACCATCCCTGGAGGTGTTCAAAAGACGGGTTGATGTAGTGCTGGGAGGTATGGTTTAGTGATGATGCTCCTTGTTTGTTGTGTGGGTGTCTATTTTTGTCAGTTAGGTTGACAGTTGGACAAGATGATCTTTAAGGTCCCTTCCAACCTAGAAGATTCTGTGATTCTGTGATTCAGGCCCAAAAAACAGCTTTTGAAAAGAAGATGGACATCAGGCACCAACTGTTTCAAGCCAGCGTGGACATCACCCATGTGATTGCTCTGCTTTTTTTTGTTTAATAGCAATTACCTTTTCTACCCTACATAGAACACAATCTTCAGCGCTACACGTGACATTAGGGTGCAGAGAAAGGGGAAAATTCACTTGAGATCTCCCAGCAAACCCACGGCAGGTTCAAGAAGAAGAGAACCTCTGATCTCCCCAACCACAGCCAAGCACTTTATCCTCTCCGATACACTTCCTCACTTTCCAAATGGAATTAGCCAAGCAGGAAAAAGGATTCTTAGTCCGGAATAAGAACCAGCGCACCGGCATTAACCTGACACATTTATTTTTGCTGTAATTATGTCATTAACCGACCCACGCTGGTTGACATTCCTCCGTAGACAACCTCACTTCACTTCACCCCCTGTCTCTGCTTACCCACCTGCAAAAACGCATGACATTTTCTCTAGCAGGGTTTCCACGGAAAGATATCAAGTGCCCTAAGATTCTCACATGCAATACCTAATAAAAAGCAGTTATTACGACGGCGGATAAAGCCCAACTTCTTAACGAGCAGGTGGTTTGAAAGAAGCAAACAGTGAGAAACTTGTAAGCTTACACCTTTTCAAGCTCTGCAAGACGGCATCTTTCTGAAAGATCTCTTTCCGAGGTGTTTATTTGCAGGTTTTTCTCTGCTTGGCTTTTCTCTGCTGTAATGTGTCAATGCTCTGATTTAGGAGAGTTGAGTCAAGAGCCCTGGGCTGCAGCACAAATCTTGCCAGCATCACAAATTAAGTAAAATGAGCTAGCAACTCTGGCTTTTGCCAGGGCCCAGAGGATTTACAGCAGCCAGCCCAGAGAGGAGACTTTTGCCTGAGGATAAAGTCTTAGCCTTCCGTGAAAAACAGAAACGTTAGGGAGTTAGGTTTTGCCTGGCCGGGCACTGCCATTAAATATTTTTTTTAAACTGCAAAGTTAGAATATAAGTGAGAAATCACCGTGGATGGAGCCTGCACCTGCTACCGGAGGGGAAAAAAAAAAAACACCAAACCCACTAAAAAAGAGCTGCTTCCAGATCATGGAAGTCATTTCAATCTCTGGTTAAGCTGTTGCAGGAATCAGCCGCCTTCATCTGCTCCAAAGTGTTTTGGGGGCTGAAGAATTAGCATTCATCAGATGTCAGACAGCACTGCCTGCCACCGAGCAGAATTCCCTCCCAAGGCCCTTCAGCCTGGTTCGCCACCGAGAGTTTGTTTTCGCTTGGAATTTGAAAGAGAGATAAAATTTAAAACAAACACCCCTCCTTTAAAATCGGGATTTAGAGCCTTCTGCCTCAGCTACAAGATGAAAAGTGGAGCCAAATTCAAACATGAGGGAAGAAAGGGTTGGATCACGCAGACTTTGGAGATAGCAACATAAACCGTTTTGATATAAAAAACCAGGGGCATAAAAAGAGACAATAAAGCGGAATGGCAAGTAGCGCAACGAACCGTAAAAAAAATTACATTTGTGAGAAAAATCAGAACATTTATTTGCTAAAGATTTCTGCCCCGTGTCTGCTTCCACAGCCGCTCTGTCTCACCGTGTCCCACGGAAGGGAGCTGCAAAAATTCCTATTTTTGTAACTCCTTCTCATCCCCAGGTGCTTCTCATGTTTTACCTACTCAGGATTGCAGAAAACCAGCAGCTGCTGGATCAAAGGCGAAATAAAACAATTTCAGGGGGAGGTTTGGAGAAGAGGGACCGGGGTTATGCGCAATAAAAGAAAAATAAAAAAAAGAGAGCGATGCTTATTTTTTTTTTAATAAGGGCAAGTAAAGTTTGCGGCGGGACCACGGAGCTTCTGTGATGTTGTCTGGAGGTGCCAGGGAAGGGCAGAAGAGGTTAAAGTGCAGTTTGTAGAGGTGAGGAATAGAAATCGGGGTTGTCTTGGCTCTGGCTTTCATGCACATTCCTGCAAGCCACAAAGACAACTTAGTAAGGAAGCAAGAAGCATTACCATCCCTTTCAGACGGACTTGGATTCCCCCGAAACATCTGGAAAAAATTGCCTGGGTCAGTCCTGAACAATCCAGGGACTAAGGAAGTTCACGAGCACTTAACTACCGACACACATTCACCGCTTTTGCAGCCGTGCTCAGATGACAATATCTGGAATCCTATCGTGGTCAAATGAAACCCAAATTTCTCTTGGAAGAAGGCCACGGCCTGATCCTCGGCGAGGAACTGGTTTTCTGCCAGGCTTTCAAACCTGAGCCACCGCAGCTGCGGCCGTGGCAGAAAACAATAAAGTGCTTTTTTTTTTTTTAAGGGGGGGTGGTTTATTAAGAGAAAGAGAAATCTGTGTCTTACATTCAAGAGGTACAGGCTGGTTTTCCTCCAGGATTTACACCGGAGCAGGAACCAAACAGGGGAAAACATCAGCTTTTAAGCACCATCTCCTTGACTTGGTGATGAGCGTCTAAAGCCCTCGCAGCCACTTTGTCACCTCCCTCCATCTCCGTCGCCACCCGGCACCTCTCGACGCCCGGTTCTTTGTGCAGGGGATTGCTTTTTAGCTCCTTTTACTGCCATCTCTCCCTATCTCTGGCCACCTTATTAATGATCCCCCTCTTGAGTTAGCATCTACAGGTCAAACGGATATCACCTCGGCCATCTGCCCTAATAACTCTCGCCTGTAATGAAAGGAGACTCGAGCTGTTTGGGAGGTTTCTCAAGATAACAGAGATATATATATATTTTTTTTATTTTTTTGGTTGTTGGTAGGGAAGTCAGCGCTGGATCAATATTAATGCTCACATTACTAAAGCTCGAGAGATATATATATTTTTTTTTTTTTGGTTGTTGGTAGAGAAGTCAGCGCTGGATCAATATTAATGCTCACATTACTAAAGCTCTACGGAGCAATTGTTTATTATGCCAGCCAGCCCCATGTGTAGAGCCCAGGTTACAGGAGGGATGGGTTCCACCGTCGCTGTCAAAGGGGAATTCGTCCACGGCTGAAATAAAACAAGCTGACAGCCCTTAGCAGGCTGCTTCTGAGAAAACGGGTTGTTAAGATGGCACTTCTCCCTGGAGTAAATTAGAAGTGTGGCATCTAATTGTGTCTACGTAATGAGGCGAGTTCTTTGCCTTTGCGAAAGGATGATCGTGAAGTTGAGGGAGGAAGGAACCCACTCCTCTCCTGATCTCGGACGCGTTGCACTACCTACCACTGTCTTCCCATCTGACACACCATGATAACTTCATCTCACAGAATCACAGAATCCCATGGGGTTGGATGGAACCTCTGGAGATCATCTAGTCCAACCCCCTGCCTACCCTGAAATCTTCAACCCATCTTTCTTCCTTAGCATATGCTGAAGATTTTATACACAAGCCAGCTCAGCCTCTCAAACGCAAGAAAGTCATCGTTCCCACCCAACATACGAAAGTTTTTAGTGACAAAACAATACTCAAAAACTTCC